CCAGGTAACTGGCTGCTGAGACTCAGACCGAGTCGAAATGCTCACGAGTCTCTTTCCTTTTCTTTACATAGGGTCTCAATTCATAAATGGCTCCCTCAGCGAACACTGTGTGAACCACAAAGATAGATAATTCATCTTGCTTGAAACCAATAGCACTGACATATCGATACTGGAAAGCTTCGTTGAGGGCTATATGATTGAGATTGGTCAAGACTGACCCTACAACGGGAAAAGTTTGGACTGTACTCATGTGTCGTGACAGACAACGGAACCGGTTGCTGGTGTAGAGTTAGAAATTAACCTTGTGTTGATCGCTTTGACTGTAAGTCTCAAGTGAACGGAGCTGAAAGATGTTGATTAGACTTTGGTTGAATATTTGCCTTAGTGCTTTTCAAATACTAGTCAGGAGTAAATTGAGTATTGAATTAACACTAGAATATAGAGTCACCGAAACGTTGATCACATAAAATCTTACTGCAAGAAGACCGCGAACTGTTGAAGGATGCTTGTTGCTAATGATACTAGTGGCGTTTCGGAGAGGGATGTCTGGGTTTCACTGCGTCCACTCAAGATTTGTTTTGGCCTGGTCCACAGTCTCCAATGATGAACTGGTACTGTGTAGCTTGCCATCATGTCCATAGAAGTAAATTACGTATTCAATATACTTTTCCTCTTTTATCATGTGGGTTGTGCGTTCACGTTGAACTCCCCTGTGCAATTTCATATCTCGGTATGCTTCTTCCTCCCATCCTTTTGTCTTATCCTTGTTTGATCTGCTCTTCACTACCAGAATCTCCCCCTTTCGTATTATTTCCCCGCACTCCGAGATTCAAATCACAGACAGACTGGTTTACAGACGACCCAAAGATTCCCACATACAAAGTGGGAAAACTATTCTCAGCAGGGTCGTTCAAGTTAGTACGGCCGTCTAGCGACTGTTGAGCACCCCAGGTACTGGCTAAATACCACAGTTGGTTGTGTCACTGGAGAGGAATCTGATCCGCTGATTCACATCTCGAGGAGTGGGAGATTTGGCTGGTGGTGTTCAGTGTCGGCTCACATGATCGGTAATGACTGAAACGTCTTCAAATACTGACTCCGAGACGGAAAACCACGTCGGGCGCTGGTAAAATCTTAGTTAGATTAATTAACGGGGGTTGTAAGATAACTGTCATTGATTATTGATCGACACTGATGCTGAGGTCAGTTCCTCGGATGGAACAACCCTCGTTTAACGTTGATGACATGACGCAGTTTGTGAGTTGATCATGGGCTGTTGAGATGCTGGTCAGTTCACTGACGAAATCTGCGGATGCACTTGTGTGTTCAACTACTGTTTGCAAGGGTACTTTAGTCTTGCTAGTACCGGGCCATGCCATGTGTCCTTGACTGCTCCCTCCCAGTTATCTCTATTGCCCAGATGGAGATCCCAACACTTCAGAATCAATCTGTTTTGAATGGTACACCAAGTAGATCTACTCGACTGGACCCGAGTGGGCAGAACTCAAACTGGCCAATAATGAGTTGAATCAGGTAAGTCGAGCTGCGTGTAACAACCCACTCTGGGCCCAAAACCCCTTAGGCTCAACGCCTTAGCTCAACACAGTAACCTCATACATGAAATCGATTTCAAGTACAGTCCGTGATTTCAGACGTCAGACGTCACCCTCATTAACACTTAACGCAAAGAGGGGTCACCCGAGTGGCCCTACCCGTTTACTGGGTGTAGTCAAAGACTTGCTTGAACACTAGCATGTAATGGCACGCGGGTATTCCTCAATCACGGAATTTCAACTGGATTTTACTGAAGCTCAATTTTTGTAAAAATACAGAGTCACTAGAGTAAAAACCGGTTTTCGTGATCATGTAGTTTTTAAAACCTTATTATATAGTTAACCGTTATCCACGTAATCTCAGAGTCTGACAACCGTATCTAGTCTGCATCAAGTAGATATTTGACTAGTTGAAAAACTATCTTCCTTATCACAGATCGTTTCTTGCTCATCGACAACGGCAATGGGAGGTAGTTGGAGTCAGAAGGTCGCACTCGGGCTGAGCGAGAATTCAAGCCCTGCTCGTGCGGCTCCTTTGTTTCGCGCTTGCAATGCCACCGACTATCCTCTCCGAGGAGATCAGGACAATCAATTCTCATTTTATACGCTTTTACATGATCATTTGTGAGCCCATACCCCTAAGCATTTTAAGCCATCACTGAGACCGTAGATCAGTGCGACTGTACGAAGGCTAGTGGGCTCATACGCCCGCCCGTTTGTATATCCAGCAAGTTAGAACAGTCACATGTTCACTTACATGCACGCCCCTCCGTTTGTAACTGTATCTTCTCAGACTATTGAGGAGCAGGTGCTGGCGTCTTTCGAGGAAAGATTGGGGCAAATTACGTCGGACTACTGTTAGTCAGAATCAGGCTTGACTCACCAGAGGCAATCTATCCTCATTTCCTCGGGTCTCTAGTTCTTAGAGAGGTAGTCCCGAACTGTAAAGGTGGGGAAGAAGAGGTAAGAAAAGGGGTGAAAGTCATACAAAGCCAGGGCAAAATATTCATGAAGGAACTTCATTCTGTATCGCGAAAGTTTTCACACTCAGATAAACCACTCACATGTCCTTTCACCTCCCAACCAAATCAATCTCCAGGGAACTAAATAGAGAGGGGTACCCTACGTTTAGAGAACCAGATGCTGCTCACCCTCGGTCGTCATACTCTTTTTGCTATTTATCTGAGAGATGGTTACGGAGGGCCAAATATTCGTCATTTTCGCTGGTAATTTCAGTGCGAATTTCATCAGAAAATTTAAAAACAAACGATATGAGACCATAGTGCAAACATCAAAAAAGGAAATTGGCAAAAAAAAATGAAAAAAAAAACAAAAAAACACTATGAAACCCTAACACAAAGACACTGTCCGAGTCAAAACGAAGCGTCCAACGAATTCAACGAAATGTCAACTTTTTCATTATTGATGCAAACATGTCAAAACTGGACACATGACGCACCCTAAAGCACATATATTTCGGTGCAATTTGGTGCAAAATTCATCGAAAATAACGCCTCTGGTTAACCATATGTGGACGCAAAACTGATGAGAAGATATACATCTTTTTTTAAAAACTGAATTCCTCCTGTCCATCAATAGGCACCATCAACAATGGAACACAGATGAAAGGGGGAAAGCGAGTGATTCAGGAGTGGTGGCATACGTCCTCATCATCTAGGTCTGTTTCCCTTCTCATCAACTTTTGAGACCCGCACGTTATCGGAATGTCATGGTCTCAATTATGACTTTCTTAAAACCTCTGATCTAGAACTCATCCTTCATTTCATCGGGAACAACGGGGACTGATCAGAACAAAACCCTGTTGATCAACCACGTACGACATTAGTACACTGTCAGAGGAAGTAGAAAGCATGTGTATTATTTCGGATCATAGTGCTTTGACCGGCCCCATTATGAGCGAGAGTAATAGAGATCTTACCTTTCAAAATAACATAAGGAGCAAACCAAAAATGACTTTATGGCAAAGTTGCCAAGCAGGTACCAGACAATTAAGTGACAAAAACGAGGGATTAAGGTCCCACGGTCACCCCGTACTAGCGTGTCACCTGTTTCAAGATCTGTAATGACTGCAAGTGGTCACCAAGTATGCACTCTCTTGCCCCTTTAGTTGATCTTCTCCCTCACTATCGCACAACCAATCTTGCAACCCAATTCCAGAAGCGAACTCGAAGTCACTGACCCTGGGAGTCCACGTTAAGATCAAGTACCGGCTATTACTACCTCTCGCAACCTACCCTTCAAGAGATTCAGATAGCGAACAACAGTCCATTTCGAGAGTCATTTAAAGAATCAGTAATCGCGCGTCAGATACAAGCTCAAGCACGGTGCTATCTTTCCTTTTTGTCTTGACCTTGCTAGATGCAGAAAACGAAAACACCTGAGCTGCCAGACAGTGGACTGGAAACACGTTGAAGAACAAGTAAAGCAAAGCCACTAGCCTTGGCCAATATTAATCGCGCTGAGGAGATGACGATGTCAACCACCCAAGAATGCACAGGGCTCTCGCCATCTCACAAGATAAATTGCATACTCCCACCATCGATACTTGCTCCACACCTCTTGGACTCAGTCACCATGCAGGGAGGGATACCAAAAGACTAGTGGCGCGAGCAGAACGGGGAAAACTAACATAGGCCCCAAGTTCTCAAATCCTCCATCGCCAGCAATTGTAAGCTCGTAGGCCTCTTGTTCGAGAAAGTGGATCTCCCACTAGTTGCACACGTGCCTCTTAGAAGCTTCTCACCTCGGTATCCTGACTCTGCCACAACCTGCAAGTCATCAGCGCTACTCATCATTGCTGCGGCTCATCTCCTCCTCCTTGCATGATGTCTGCGTTCCAGTGCCTGGTCCCAATGACTCATAGCTGCTCTGCAGGACTCGTTGACCCTCACTCTTCTCTGATCATCCAAGAACGTTTGAGTCGATGACTGTAGGCTCCCCCGTGGAAATGACTGCGACGACGATAGTACACGTGTGAAGTGAGCGCTTCTAGACATGCAGCAGTAACTTCAGCCGTTCGACAGCGCGCACACTTGAAGCGTGCCAGTCTTAGTCCCACTCACTTCTGCCCCCACATCATCAATGAAGGGTAATACAGCATCCTCCGAGTTCATACATGTCAACACAGCGACTCACTTGGAGCCGCTAATATCGTCAGAGAACGCAAGGGGTGAACAACCCCTTATATCCCCCGACTCCCTTCGCGCATACATAGTATTTCCTCCGGCCTAAACACAGGTCATCCTCACTATTCTTAGTTTGTTGTGGGTTAGCGTGCGAGCTTCGCACGGGAGTATGGGGGGCCGTGGTCGGCGTCAAGTATTGCTCATGCCCCACTGACTCCTCTCCATCCTCATCCTGCCCTGAGCATACACGCACGCCCCTTTTTTTGGCCGTAGTCGTAACGCACTCTCTGTAACCGCCTAATGACCTTGGGCCCCTTCATTGACGCGCACCACCCTCTTGTCAATTCCGTGGGGCAGAGCTGACCTCCGGGCCCCTTTCCACAGGCTCGGCAGGCGGGTGATCCCTTGGCCTCGGGTCCAGCCCACGCCGAGACAGAGTCGTGGCCTCCAAATCGCTCTCCTCGCTCTCGGCCTCAGTATCACGATCCAAATGTCGTTCTTCCCGATCCACCGTGTCCGTGGATGTCCTCTCGTCCAGGTACGCGACAGTCACCCTCATCTCGTCCGTAACCCCGTCCCGTCTGCACCTCCTTTCTGCCCGGTCTCTTGCCTCTGTAATAGCCATCTGCAGGCTTGGGTCCTCCCTCATCTCCTCCTCTTTCCCCCCCTCTACGTTTATCCTCAGCTTCGCCTCCCGCCTGCCGTAGCTGTAGTCCAGCACGGCTGTTACCGTAGGCCCGTCTCCCGACATCCGCTGCCATCTACAGAGGGACTGGATGCATCTTAGCCTATAGCCATACAGTCCACAACTCTGTACGATGGCTACAATCTCACGACCAGCAAGGTCTCGGTACTCAGAGCGCGCACACTCAGCCTGCTCCTTCTTCCTCACAAATGCCTAGCCACTTCCCACTTCGGGATTAGTCCACCAGTCTTTAGCGCGACGGGAGCCCCTGAATGTGTCATTCAAGTTGGCCCCCGAAGATTCATTCGCCCTGTCCTTTATAGGCTTGCCTCTCATCACGACCGCAACATTCTAAATGACGAATTCAAATAATTAATAAAATAATTAAATCAATTAATCAAAAAAGGGAATTAGGAAAAACGAAGCTCAACGGCCACGAACCAGATACATTGGGTTACTGTCAGTCACTAACTTTGGTGGTATGACTACAGATCTAAGGCGATGGTCCCATAACGGAATTCCAACTTGTCGCCCTTCTTTGTTTAAAACGCGCTATCAGAATTACCCCCAATGGGTACCCACGTCCGATGGCAAGGAGAGGGCTTATGACCCTTCACTGGGGGGGTGATAAGCCTCCTACCAATGCGGTCGCGGGTTGCCCCTCTTTTGGGGCCGCCGGGCCACACTTGATCGAATCTTCCAGCCATTGGCGCAAAGTGAAAAACCAGGTCAATCTAGGCCGCAGACCACAGCCACGCTCGAAATTCGAACCGTTGGCCTTCCCGCGAAGTAACAGAAGGAAAACTTAAGTAAAAGGAATTGGCAATAATAATAATAGTAACAAAATAAAGAAAGAACTTCAAAGAAGAGAAATCATAACGCTGCCTCGGTCAGAGGTCACTAGATCGTCCCAGACTAAAGCGAGGGTCCAGATCTGCGCGCAAGTCCGACACTTGACTTCCTTTTTCTCTTCTTATCCTTTTTTTTTTTTTTTTTTCTTTTTTTTTTACCCCTTTTCTGTTCGATTGTGACAGCGAGCCTACATACCCAGCCCATAACCCGTTTAGAGGCCACTTGGCGCGCAATAGAAAAGACCGAGTCGGTCCCTCTACCTTCGCGTCCCTGGGCGAACCCGACGGCTACCACAACCACAGGCCGGTAGTGCTCTGCTGTACAGGAGGGCGCCGAGCTTGTGTGGACCAATGGAAAGTCCAGTGGCGCACCCTTTTGCTGAGGGTAGGCGCCGATTGGCCGGTCCATAGCAAGGTATAGCTTGGCAAACCAAGTGGGCCTTGGAGGTTCGGGAACTACCTGACGAGCCGCAGGTGTCAAAGCGAGGAGCTGGTAATGAGTAGAAATCAGGCACAAAGGAGGGTCGGGAC